TTTACTCACCTTTGGGTTTACCTTATTCACAGCTTTTACAGCTGTATCTATGGCTGCCTGGATATTTTTCCAAGCTTCTTCAGGGTGAGCACAGCTGTCGAACACAGATATGTGTTTAGCTAGTTCTTCCTCAAATACGGATTTAGTTTCCTGATCGAGCTGGGGACGTGATGGTTTTACCGCCAGCTGTTTCCTACGTCCGTTCAGTCGTAAGCACACCCGAGCGCGGACCAGTGCATGGTCGGTATCTACGCACGTGTTCCAGAAGGAGCGACAATCTCCTACCGACCCACGCCAACGATAGCTTATTGCTATGTGGTCTATTTGTGTCCAGCGTTGGTTTGATGAAGGGGGTCTCCAAGTCAAACAGTGTCTCTCCTTGTGTTTAAAGTTAGTGCTTACAAGAAACAAATGATTATCAGAGCAGAACTGTAGGAGACGGTCACCGTTGTCGGTTCGCTGGCACGGAGCTCCATAGGTGCCACCGACATCCTTCTCAGATTGACACAATTTCCCTACTTGAGCGTTAAAGTCACCAGCTAGAACGACTATGTCTGAGCGTTTAGCCTTTCGCACCAAACTAGACAGCTTTTGGTAGAACTCATCCTTCGTTTCATCTGAACTGCAGTCAGTGGGGGCGTAGGCGGAGATTACGAAAAGGCATCGGCGAGTAGTGCAGTCCTTCCTCCTTCTTACTGATCCGTTCAGGCGGACAGCACACATTCGGCTATCTACCGGGATCCAGTCAAGCAATGTCTTTTCTGCCCTAGTACTCAAAGCTATCCCTACGCCAGCTAATCCTCGTGAACTAGCTGTGGCATCTCCTGACACCCTCAAGGTGAATTTTGCAGATTCAACCTGTTGGCCAGGTGGGGTTAGGTGAATAACCACACTTGGGTCTTGTATGCGTGTTTCTGAAACACAGCATACATCAATGGCTCGTGATGCCAGGGTCTTGGCTAGTGATGCTTGTTGTCCTATTTGGCAAAGTGTCCTAACATTAAGAGCTCCTATATGAAATTGGTGGCGCGGCTTTAAGAGGCTGTCGGTGGTGGTTTTTTGGCTTCCATCGTTTTTAGTGGACGCAGAGTGGAGAGGAAGTGGAGAGCTATCAAGTCGAGGAGTTGCATCAGTGGAAGGAAGGCAAGATGATAGAGATGAAGATGAAGACAAAGATGAGTGAGTAATAGAGAGGTTTCGTGTGCATTTCGGATTGTGAGGGCGATTGTTACTTCCCGGCTGCCCACACCGTGGAAGTTGGTTGCGTGACCGCAGAGCCCAGGGGACAACTGCTTGAGGCCGGTCACACGCGGCCTGTTTTTGTTCGTTCTTTTTTGTTTGGTGTGTCTCAGTAGCAGATTTATCACTCCTGCCCTGTGACACGGCAGCAGGAAGCGCGGTCGTTGTTAATCCGGGCCACGGCCGATCCGGCATGAAATTTTGTAATTTTGTATTGGACATGATGTTGGATTGGGTAGCTGCTTTTTGTTTAACCGCTATCCAAACAACCTGCCTGGCATGGTAGAACCTCAAGAGACATAAGTCTCAGCCAGTATAGCTTGAATAGATCATTGCGGTGTTCAAGCCCGACCACCACGTCAAGGTGGCAGCTTTCGGTCCTTCACGTTCCCAGTGGAACATAAGGCCTCAAGCCATTGACTTGATGTTTCTGTGGCAGTGTTTAATTTTACAGGATGGGGTTGCTAGCCTCATGCCCAACCTTTCCTCTTTACCAGCATTATTTCTGGCTTAGCAAGGTAAAGGAGTAAGTCGGCCGGGGGTCGAACTCTGGATCATGTGCATGGTTGGCTAGCGTCCTAACCGCTGTGCCACCGATGAACAATATAAAATGTAGTTATTTGAATGATAGTAGCAGTAGAATCTAGGATGTGCATTTAGTCCTAAATGGAAATTTCCAGTTGCATGTAAACATGCAGACATGGTTCTTTGGTTCAATTACTTGAATTTCAATCATTCGGTGACCAGTTCCAATCCCACTCAACCTACTTTACATTCAGCAACTGGAGTAGCATCATACACCATCTCATAACAACTGTGAATAATAGAGTGAAACAAGAAAGACAGATTACCTAAATCCCCAGTGGTGGTGCTACCCCAACTGAGATTCAAACCCCAATACACTGTCCGTTAGGCCATTGGAACCACCTCAAGTGCAGAGCGTGCACTTGTTATTTTTATTTTCTCTGTTTATTGATTATACTAGACTACTAAAATGCTGAGTCTTTGTTGGTATGTCAGCTCCTAGTGTCTAAAGATCAATATGATGTTATTTCGTGGTGACAGTGGTTGCAAATTTTGTCCAATGTCGGACTCGTCAGCTGGATGTAGGCACATCTTAGGAAATATTAAGAGGACGATTACAGAAAGTTTTCTTTACAACAAAGTCATCAGCTAGGTTGTACATTCGTGTATTTATAGTAAATGAGTGAGAAAGTTCCAGAACTATTTCCGGTCGAGTCAATTTAATAAAATTCCAAAGCGTAATAAACAGGAAGATAAAAAGGATAAAAAGCATATTAGGATCATAATTACTGAGAAAATTGACTTTTTGTGCAATAAGGAGATTAAAAGTGTAGTAATAAAAAAATTGTCCGTTATTTTCCGATTTTGAGGGGAGCAACCAAAAAGGTCGCTTCTCTCTAAACTTTAACTTAATGTAATCATTCCTTTCTCAGGCGTGAGGCTAGCAACCGCACCCTGTAAACAAAATTGCTAAAGAAACTTCAGTATGATGAACCTCTTTGCACCGAAAGAAAAAGTCTGAGGTGGTTGTCCAATCCGACAGCTTGTCTTTCACGTGCTGGTTGAATAGTTTCTTGCAGAAAAATATCACTGAGAGATTTCGAAAGCCGTTTTAGGAGAATTTCTGCTTCAGTATCACTTATAAATTCAAGATTAAACATCAGCATCTTTTTCAGGGCGACTTAGCCCTCTTCAGACATTTCCCAGGGTTTCCGATTCTTGTCTATGAATATGGCTGGGAAACCATTTTCCGCCAAGATCCCTCGGAGATTTTTCAATTCTTTGTCAGTTGATTCCTCAGTACATATTTTACAGATCCTTGAGGAAAGAGAGTATATGAGGCTTTTTGTGAAAATTGATAGTGTCGATTCTCTATGGCTTTTTCGTATATGTAAATGTATCTCTAATAAGTGATAGTTTTTCTACTTAGACTTGTATCAGAGTTTGAAACAATAGGTGCTGGATTGTAGTGTCAGTGGGAACAGCAACATTCGTTGAGTAGGCAAGCAGATCCAGCTGACAAGTCCTCCGTTGAACTAAATTGTATACCATGGATTCCACTGCTGACCACCATCAACCGAATAACAATATGATGTCAACCTCCAGGCATCATTGAAGCTTCTGTACTATGAACCTAAATGTCAAAAAGAGCAAGGCGTGTTTAGTCCAATATAATCTGTCTGTCTGTTTTCGACATAGAACTTTACACCGATGTGCACCAGTTCAAGTCGCTACACTCCCTCCATGCAGCACACAAAACAAGAGAAGAAAGTAGAAGATATGCATAATAGAGACAGTAAACAGAGATGTGAGACAAAGGAATAGTAACAATTAAGAACAATATAGTTTCGTTAGAAATCATAAGTCACAAGGAGTGGATGCATCTGCGCCAGCCATTGAGAACGATTTTGAGCCATGTCACCAATTGTTTCCAACCATTGGTTTTTACCGTCCCGAGGACCCCAACCAGGAAGCCAGTCTACACCTTCCTACGTGGCTTAAGCAAACTGTTGTAGATTTCATTGACTGGTGCCGTCATGTTTTGGTTTGACCGCCGCTAGCTCTTTTCCAGCCTCACCCTATGTCAGCTAACATTGCCTGTCGGTCGAGGAAGGCGATGTCTAGGAATACGTAACACATGTCCTAACCATCTCAGTCAATGTAGCTTCACAGCCTCGTCAATTGATTTCCCTTGCCACCTACCTAGCACTCGGCCGACGGCTAACCTCAATATTGCTCACCTTATTGTACCACTTCACACGGGAGATAGAACGCAGACACCTATAATCAAAGACAGCTAGCGGTCTTTTCATGTCTTCCACTCTCAGTGGCCAGGTTTCACAACCATAAAGGAGGACGGAGCGGACTGATGAGCAATACACTCGCCCTTTGGTCGATAGTCAGATATCTCGTCTAGGCCAGAGACGGCTAAACTGGCATATGCGAAACTAGCTCTCTGTGTCCGTGCTGAGATTTCGTCAGAGATCAACCCGTTGGGGCTAATGGTACTTCCCAAATAAGTGAAGCGGTGAACGTGCTCTACCACTTCACTTCCTATTTCTAATCTAGGAGTCGGTGTAGTCCAGTCCTGTAACATCATCTTGCATTTGACGGGAGCGAATCGCATGCCAAACATTCGTAGATTGCAGATCAAGGTGTTTAGAAGACTCTGCATTTTGTCAGCGTCCTCGTCTAGCACGGAGGAGTATATCGTCTGCATATTCTAAGTCAACGAGATTATTCCCTGGTAGCAAGTCAATCTCTGAGTCGCTGAAGTCACTTAGGGTTAAGTCCATTAGTACATCTATGATGAAGTTGAATAGAAAAGGGGATAAAGGGCATCCTTGACGGACACCAATATAATCAATCAACAGAGGGTACAGAAAACCACTTAAATAAATAATTAAAATAACATAAAAATGCACCATGATCTGCCTATACGTTTTGGAAAAAAATGGACCATGGAAAAAAACATCAATATTGCTGCACAAAAAGAAAAATAGTTGATTACATAGTTATAAACTATTTTTTTGTTGTTGTTCGTTTGAAAGTTGATGAACAAAGGTCAAACAAACCATCTAAATATTTATGCGTAAACCACCCGACAAAAACCAAACTAATAAGCTACAATTTCAGATAGTATAAAGAAAGCATCATCATTGTTAACATTAATGACGGCTATATTTTAAAGCAGTCTATTAGAAGAATGTGTATTTATAAATATATAGAATTCTTACCTTTCCAGATGTATATGTCTGATCTTTATCGTACGATCCAAGAGCAATAATCTCATCAGTATTTACAGGGCTTCATTAAAAAATATAATAGAAAGAAATGAAAATTTTAGAATTAGAAAAAAAAATTGCTGCAAAGTCAACCATCTGGTCATATGTCAGGCAATAGAGATTTGAAAAGTGGTCATATCATGGACCCTTATCAAGGAATTGATTGGCTACAGGTTTGATCACTAACTGATATCAGTTAGAGAACTATTGTAAGTGCAGGAAGTACTGGACAACTGTTTGAGACTCTTTAGCAGTATGCATTTACTGGGGTTCGAACTCAGGACCTTCCGGCTACAAGATGAGCTCATAAACGATTGTGGACAATTTGAAGGTGTTTAAAATAATCAACAGAAGGAAGAAATCTAGCCTGCTGTGTTTTTATGAGACAATCGTTATCAAACGGTTGAAACCCAACACAAAAGGACGATGGTGATTAAATTAACAAAACAAAATCATATAATTTCGACAGCGTCATACATTCTCCTATATCTCCTGATTTTAACATCACTCATCCTACTCCTTATTTACCGTTTTATAAAAACATTATTATCATTATTGTTCCCTTGGGTTCCGGGTGGAACATAGGGTTTCATCAACTCATCTGTACTTTGTTCCATTTTTTATTGTCCTCTTCACTTGGGTCCATGATTGCCCATAATCCTCACCTCCTCTTCGCCACACTATCTCCTCCATGTCACCCTAGCACTGACGACCCACTCGTCGTTACCCATTCGCATTCCACTCGAGCGATGGCCTCAGTTGCGCATAATGTCATTCGACGGTCTCCTTAATAGGGCATGCCCAATCCACCTCCATTTTCTCCTACATATTTGTTGACCAGTCGGCTCTTCGTTGGTTTGTTCCCAGACGGAGTTTGTTGTTCCTAATTCTTCCTGGCTGGCCAACTGACCATTTGATCTTCAGTATGGAGATAGTGAAGACAGCTGTTGGTAAAAGTCTGTATTGGCCTGTTGGAAATCTTTTTGTGACACTCAGTGCAAGTTTCTGACTCGTATAAAAGAACTGACTGACTTCACATTTGTGTTGAAAATCCAAATCTTATTCTTTATGTTGAGGCAGGGTGCAGACGATTTCCAAGCTAATTTCAGATTGATTGAGGTGTATCTTGCTTTTTCTATTCTTGCTTTGAAATCTTTTACCCCATCCGTTTGTGGTTGAAATGATGCTTCGTAGATAAGAAAATACTACAGAAACTTCAACGCACAAGAAGGATACTATAAAAACCTACTCTCTGATGATATTATGTAGCCTGCCATACTGATATACTCTTTATAGATAAATTTTGTTTATAAACCAAAAACCTTTTTTTTAATCTGCCTTTTTGTTTCCATAAATAGTATATCCCTTTAGCACATTATTTTATATCTTACATCACTGCGAATTTATGTTACTTTTATTTCCTATCAGTTTCTCCTAAAATCCCACATGTAATTTATATTTTCATATTGTTCAGCTTTTACTTAGCTGAGAAGACATAAAAAAAAATAAATAATGAGTTGATACTGTGGCGTGTACTACTGATAAGATTTATCAATAGTATACAAAGAAGACTTTCATCAGCATAAAAAACACGCATCAAATAACAGGGAGATAGATGTGATATCATCATGAGCTGACATCAGTTAGAGAACCACTGGAAAACCTGGGGGTACTGGGCAGCTGTTTCGTCTTAGTTTGGGACTCTTCATCAGTATGCGCTCATCGCGGTTCGAACTCAGGACCTTCTAGTTACAAGGCAAGCGACCTCGTAGACCATTGAGCCACTGGGACCCGATCCAACCCGGTGGGTGCGTACTGATGAAGAATCCCAAACTAGGACGAAACAGCTGTCCAGTACTCCCAGGTTTTCCAGTGGTTCTCTAACTGATATCAGCTCATGATGAAATTCTCCAACCAATCAAACAAAATCCCTTCAAAACCAATACTTGAAGATTTGATGTCAGCAACAGTAAATGATACAGCATCGCAGAGATATGTGGAAGACGTGAAAGGAACACACACACACACACACAGAAACACAACATGAAGGAAGGTCAAATGCAGCACACTACGGTGGATTCGTGTAAATTATGGTTTGAAGTGTACATTATATACATATACCATATTCCAAATAAACATTCTTTTACCAGGTCTCTTATTTTCTACCATGACAATCATCTATATTATCATGGTTACATTTGTTGTTTCTTATTGCTTTGTTCAATGTGATATAAAGAATTTATTTAAAAATTTACATTCCATTGTGTTGATGTATTCTCTTAGTTCATAAAGTTTTATAATTAATTAAGTTAAAGTGCAGTAGAAATAATAATAATAATACTGATATTAATGGACTAACTTTAGCATTTTATTTCTATGAATGGTAATCAGTTTTAAATTCATGTTGAGTTTACATTTTATGCCTGGATTATACTGCTGAATCAACATGCAAGAATGTAAAAAAAAAAAACAAGAAAAAACAACCAAAAATCCACAACCTATTACAAGTTTAGTAATATCTGATAGAGATGATACGCAGTATATGAATGAAGGCCATATCTTTTCAATTGTACGATCTGTGCAATGTAAGTTGGCTAGTATTAGAAATGCAACCAATTGAAAATAAAAGATTTCTCATATATGATTAAGAAAAGAATTAGGCAACTGAGGGCAGAATGGAACTCCATATTAGAAAAGTTTATTGGATGTAATTTGAAATCATATAAATCTATCCATAAAACTTTTCTAACATGCTTGACTCAATGCGAATACCAGAAATATGGAAGATATTATTGCCGCCAGTCAAATCAGAGGAGATTAACAAATAATCGTAAAGTTCTATTTCAATTCAAGCACATCACGACATTCCAACAAGTAACTCATTATGACTATAAAAACACTCGTCTTATTTCCCATCTGATTGTAATGGATCAATAACACTCATATTATTATTATTTCTGAATGTATCTTATCCTATATTGATTTTTATTCAAATATCTAATCGATTCCATACATGTATATAAATGAGGGAAAAAAGTTGTGTTAGTAAAATTGACATGATTATGAGTGGCAATAATTTGTGCTTGAAAGGTTATCAATTAATATTACTGTACAACACTGTGTTATTTATCAAATATAAAATCCTATCCAGAGTGTTTACTGGTTGATTCATTGTTTTCCAGAGATCTCTGTTGGTGATTTTTTCTAGCCGGTCATCTGATCTTGAGTATTGAGCGAAGACAGCTGTTGATGAATGCCTGTATTTGTTTGAAGTGACCTTCGTGACGCGCCAAGTCTCTAATCCGTATAGTAGCACTGGTTCTCCATTGTAGTTTAAAATTGGGATCTTATTTTTCGTGCTCAGTACTGTTGATCTCCACAGAGACTTGAGAGTGATGAAATCTTGCCTTGCTTTCCCGATCCTCGCATTGACATCCTCATCAGTTCCGTTCACCTGTAGTTGAAACGATGCTTCCAGGTATGTCGGTAGGTAAAGGAGGTTGTTTCTTGCAGATTCCTGCCATTTATGTTGATTGTTGTCTGTTGTTGTTGCTGTTGGCGTTCCCCTGGAATCTTCATTACCTCTGTTTTCTCTATATTTACTTGGCGTCCTATCTTTGATGCTTTTTCTGCCAACTTGTTGCTTTTCACTTGTATATCTTCCAGTTTGTGGGAAATCAGACAAATTTCATCGGCGAAGTTCAGATCCTCCAAGTATTTTGTGTTGGTCCATTTTATGCCTGTCTCCTCGTTGCCCACTGCGTTCTGTCTCATTATCCAGTCTACCACCCATACTCAGGAAAATCGTTGGAGATAGTAGGCAGCCAGCTTTTCTTACTCCCGTCTTCACTTCGAGGTACACCGCGAGTTTCCCGTTGTGGATTACTTGGCATGGAGCATTGTCGTACAACTGTTGGATGAGGTGTATAATTGTTGGTGGAACCCCATTGTAGCGAACTAGTTTCCAAATCAACTCTCGATCGACGCTGAAGGCCTTTTTCACAGTCGATAAAGTTGATGTACAGAACTGACTACCATTTCAAGCTTTGTTCAATGATGATACGTAGTGTTGTGATACTACGGATGCACGACTTGTTCCTCCCGAATCCAGTCTGTTCCGGTCGAAGTTTCTCATCCAGGGCATGTTTGATTCTCTCCAGGATGATGCGGCTTAGTATTTTTCTTGGCACAGGTAGGTGCATTATGCTGCACCAATTCTTGATTTGACTTAAGTCTCCGTTCTTTGGCAGTTTGAATAGGTAACCTTTCCTCCAATCAACAGGTACCTGACTCCCTTTCCACACCTCCTCCACTAGTGGTATCATGAAATCCACTGATGATGTAGACAGCACATTTAATGTTTTGAAATCTGAACATATCCCTAGGCTTTCAACAATATAGACTACCAAGTAGTAGATGAAATCCAGTTTACTTTTTAGTTAGAAAATGAACAGGATGAGTTAATCTCATGTTCGATTGTAAAATAAAACGAGAACAACGTGGTGAGGTTAGATAGCAGCGTCTTTAGAAAACCGTTACTTTCTAAAAGGTACTTAGACTTTGAATTATTCTACTAAATATTGGTAGAGGTGTAGGTTTAGTTAAATTTTTATGTAATTCAACCAAAAATCTGACTGTCTGTCTGTCTGGATTCAATATAGAACTTGGCACCGAAGTGCAGCAGTTCGAGTTGCCACGAAAAATCTGACTAGTAAGTCAGTAGATTTAAATAATGAAATCTAAGAGATAAGGAAAATATTACCCATCAGAATTTATTCAAAAGTATGCTAAGAATTATGAGGGAAATATGAATAGTAATGTAAATAATGAAAAAAAAAAACATACAGACAATAAGGAATTTAAAGCCTCTTTAGTACTACCATAAAAGGAAACAACGTCAAAGGCCCTATGTAGAAATTAGGATGGCTTTAGAACCAACCAACTGACTCACAGATAAGCTCCAATAGATTCAATTAGGAAAAAAAATATAACTTGTTGAATAACATACAATGACTATGGGGT